ATATTTGTACGCCAATGTTCAGAGCAGCGTCATTCAAAAGAGCCAAGAGCTGGAAACAACTCCAGCGTCCTTTCCTTACCTTACTAGTTATAGAGCGGCGGTTTGGGAAGGTGGTGATGGGTTGTGGTGACAGTTGCACGACAATGTCAGTATACTTAATGACACTGAAATGCACACTCAAGAAATGGTCAAGTGGATAAGTTTATGTTATGTAGATTTTACTACAATAAAAGACACTCATACGATGTAGACAAAAGGAGTGAATTTGGGGCGCCTGGGTGGCTCAGTCGGTTGAGCAACCGACTTCGGCCCAGGTCACGATCTCACGGTTCATGGTGGGTCCGGGCCCGGCATTGGGCTCTGCACTGACAGCTTAGAGCCTGGAGCCTGCTTCAGATTCTCTCTCTCTCTCTCTCTCTCTCTCTCTCTCTCTCTCTGCCCCTCCCCCACTTGTGCTCTCTCCCTCTCTCAAAAATATTTTTTTTAAAAAGGTGAATTTTACTATATGTTCATTTTTAAAAAGTAAATTAAAAAAAAAAAACCTTAAGATGGAAAATTCTTAGACCATGAACTTGGGCCTTTGATGGTAATGCTCACTTACTGAGCACCTGCTGTGTACCAGGTACTAGGTTAGATCCTTTTAGGTATATAGCAATATTAACAAGATGCTTCCCGAATATTGGCCGTGTGCCTGGCATTGTCAGAGTGCTTTATACACCCGAACACAGTTGTGTCCCCCACCACCTCTGTGAGTTGTGTTCACATCCCAGCGCAACAGGGGAGAGTGGGGCACAGAGGGATGGTAAGGGGTTGGTGGCCTCGCTGCCTGAGAACCACGTCCTGTCTCCCCGGGCACAGCCTGGATTTTTTGGCTCTACTGAGTCCCACGGGGGAGGAGACAGGAACATACTTACGTACTGAGGACCCTACCCTGGCCCCAGACACTGAAGACAGTTTAGGGAAGGTGAGACCCAAGTCCCAGAGTGGGCCCGACCGGCATCAGATACTGTAGCCCCAGGGGCTCCGCTCACGTAAGCAGGAGCCCAGAGGCCACGATGAGAAGAGCCTCCCTGGGGCCCTGCTGTTTGTGCTTCCAGGAGCTGATGTCCCCCGGGCTTCGGAAGGGCAGAGGGGAGGGCATTGGGCCTGTTGAACTGCAGGCTGAGGGTGGGTGTATGTGGGCCTGGGGTCTCACCTACCCTCCAGGATGGCACGCCGGTGCTATGTGGAGTCACCCTTCCCTTGTCTGACACTGCTCAGGGTGGCCCAAAGTCAGGCTGGAGGCTGCTCCAATCATGTCCCGGCAGGACCCTAGGCCATTAAGCGGAGTCGAGGGTAGCCAACAGGCCTTGACACCACAGCCACATGCCCAGACACTCCATCATAAGGGAGATAACCTGCCTTTCAGACAGGTGACCACTTGGTGGCCTTCTCCGGTTGAACTTGCCACTTGCCTCCACGCCTCCGGGGCCCCTAGGCCTGCATCACATTGGGCCTCCAGAGGACTGTGCAGCCCAGGGGCAGACCAAGGCTTCAGAGAGTTTCCGCTGCAGGGGCCAATGGGCAACAACAAGCTGGGAGGGGGATGGCAGGGAACGGAGACGGGTCCCAGTTGGTAAAAATCATAACAACAACAAAAGCAGCCAACTGCCATTAAGTGCCATGTGCTAGGCGCTGTGCTCTGCCTGGACGTGTACCAATGCTCCATTTCCAAGAGAAGTAAACTGAGGTGCAGACAGGAAAGAACCACTTGACTAGTACTAGAAGGACTTAAACCTGAGCCGCCAGGCTACAAACCTGGACGCTCAATCAGCCTGTGTCCGTCGATCTCCCCGGGCAGGCCTGGCGCCTCCCCGGGCTCCCTGCCCCACTGCACCTGACTCCCTCGTAGGAGGCGCCAGGCAGCCTTTATGGAAAGGCCTGGCATTTGCTTTGTGAAGGTCATACGGAGGTTGAGGGCAGGCGCATGGTGCCAGGTGACATGGCCGTTTGTAGGGCCGGGTGTGCACAGAGGGTCTGTGCATGTGTGGGTCAGGGTGTATGTGTGCTCAGGGCACCTGTGTGTGTATAGATCTCTGCGTGGATTTGTATGTCCGGGTGTGTCCATGGGGTCCGAGTGTCCACGGTGCCTGCACAGATCTGTGTGTGTGTCTAGGAGTTTGTGTGACCTTGTAAGAGTGTACCTGTGTGCCACACATGTGCCACGACTGTCCCTGCCTCCTGAGTGTGTGCTCCCGCGTGTGGCTGTGTGCAGGTGGGAACCAGGCCTGCGTGTGTGCTGCGGGGAGAGTGCGTTCCTGTAACGCGAGACTGACTGTGCAAAGCCAGGGTTTCTGTGGCCCCCATGGGTCAACTGTGAGATTCTCTTTGTGTCCCCACCGCCTCAGAGACCCACGCCTTGCACAGTAAACACAGACCCCCGATTACCCTGTGTGTGGGTGGGTGGGTGCGTCTGTGTTTGTGTCTTCTGAAGATTTGGTAGAGGGGAGCGAGAACGAGGCGGGCGTACCCTGAGAATTTTCTCTGCTCCAGCACTGTCCAGTTGATTCTAAATAACCCCCAGGAGTTCCAGCAGGAGCTGCCCCCCTCCCCCACCCCAGCTTGGTTTTCAGCCTGGCAGCCCCAGCAAGGAGGGGGTGGGTAAGACTGGAGGCACTGAGCAGAGCAGGGCCAGAGGGACCTGGCTCCAGGCCGGTGGCCTGGGAGTGGAGCCCAGGTGACGCTGGACACCCATAGTTGGTACCAGCATGAGTGCCAGAGACCCAGGTTTAGGGGCACAAACAGGGTGAAGGGATCCCATCTCAAATAGGAAGGGGGCAGGACCTAGCACTCCTTTTGAGGGCTATCACCTGCAGGAAGCCGACAGCAGCACTAAGAATTTGGGGGCTGGAGAAGGGGGTGGGGCTGCAGGCAGACCCTGGAAGCCACTTTGGGGACTCCCCAAGGCCCACTGGGCACC